GGGAAGATGCTGCAATACATAAAATACATAAAGAAAATCTAAAAGAGTGTGACCACTTTATTGTGGGATAAGGGGAAAGTGCTGGAAGAAGTGACAACACAAATCACAATTGGCCCTCCGCATCTTCAGGTTTGAAAATACTCGGGGGGAAAAATGCATCAGTACTGAACATGTGTAGACTTTTTTCTTGCAATTATGCCTTAAAAATAACTATTTACATATCATTTACTTTGGTTAGGAATTGTGAGTAATGGGAAGATAACTTAAAGTATAGATGTGTGTAGGTTACGTGTAAATACTACACCGTTTCATAGAGAGGACTTGAGTGTTCAGAGCTGGGCGTCTGCAGGAGTCCTGGAACCATACCTAGGGATGACTATATTCTTTTAAGTTTTTCCTAATATTTACAGATGAGTCTGCATATGAACAGAAGATGAGAGATACGTTGAGAAACTACAGACGTTACATTTGAAAAGTCTACTTTTATGATTGAAAACACTGACTCACAAATAAGAAAAATTTGGGAAGTTGCCCAGTGCCTTTCCCCCAATTACATTGCATTGGAAACTTCCTTAAAAAGGGATAAACATGTCATTTGTTTTTGCATCAGATGGAGCTCTGAAGATCTTAAGAATGTAAAGTAACAGACTGGGGGGGGGGGCTCTGTCCAAATCCTGGATCAGCCCCACTCTCCTTCTTTCTCTGGGCTACCTAAGTAAAGCAGCTTTCTTCTTTCTATTTCTCTAGGGAAGAATGATAACAATTCTCTTTTCCAGTTAATTCTTCCCCTGCTTGTTGGAAAGAGCCATTAGTTTATGTTTTATTCTTTATGCCTGTGAGATCTTGGGATGAAATACTCTATAAGCCACAAAGCCTATTACTATTTTAAGTACCTGCATCTTCCAGGAGAAGGAACACGCTGGCTCCCTGCAGGAGAAATAAATGGAGTCAGCTTTCAGGCTGGCACACTGTCTTTAGTAAAAAATGAAGAAAGACATGGATCATCCTGTTCTGTCCACTGTAGAAAACATGTTCAGATCAGTAAAGCAGAGCACAAATTTAAGAGGAGTTACTTGTTCCACACTCTGGGCTACACAACTTTTTTTTCCTTTTCTTTCTTTTTCCTTTTTGGTCCAAAAGAACAAGTTCTGAACACAAAAAGGAGGGGATATCAGGGTAAGGGTAATTATAAAATGCATTGTCTAAGGTGTGTGTGTGGGAAGAAACTTGTTCTTTCTCTTATTGTAGAGTCTTGTTTCATGGCTGTGAAGGAAAGAAACTGACTGGCTACCCACATTTTGAATCATACATGCCGTTTGAGGGAGCACCTGGCACTTGTGAACGAAACAGCAGGCAAAAATATTTTGTTGTATTTTCCCATTGTAATCTCTCTTCAAGATTTCTTAAAATCCTTCCCTTTGTGTTCTTGTCAAGATTGACAAGCATCCATGTGTTACCAAGTGACATGAAATTCTTGCTTGAATAATCATGACTAAAATTCAGGATATTTTGAAGCAAGTTATTGACTTGGAGAACCACCCACTAGACTGAATTCTTCTGAATTAACCTTGACTGACAGCATCAGGGGGATGGTGCTTCTACCCTAAATGGTCATATCCATCCATGTCCCTGCCGCAGCTCTGGTGCTGGCATCTTTACCCCAGGACTGTTATGACGTAAGTTGTGTAGCTAAAAAGATCTTTCTCATTAATATTATAGAAAACTCCATGTTTAGAAATTAAACTCTGAATCAAAAAAAGCAGATGGCAAGGGAAGAAACTGAAAGAACTCTTTTTACTTGAAGCTTGTTTATCTTCATTCAGCGTGGACAATAACCAATGCCACTGGCAGTGAGATGACAGGACTCATGGGATATTCAGATGGGAACAGGGGGTCATTTTTAATAAAAAAAAAGTAGTGAAATCATGTTTCATTCTCTGCATATTCTGAGTGCAGCAATCTCTGATGGAAATTGTTGAAAAGGTCATTATGTAGGAATAGGTTGAGCATGAGGCCTTTCATCCCCTTACATTTCCCCAGTTCCAAAAAGTGGCTCCAGAAATTCTACATAGAAGGTGCTTAGAAACTGCATTCTGTTTGAAAAAGAGGAGGTAGGAGACTTACCCAGAAGTAGTGTGGCACATTATGGTTTAGATATGAGGTGTGCTCCAAAAGCTCCTGTCTTTTGCAGGAATCCACAGAGGTAAAGTGATTGGATTGCGAGAGCTATACCATACTCAGTCCATCCTAGTTTGAATGACTGGGTAGTAACCGGGGGGGGGGGGGGCATGGCTGGAGGAGGTGAGTCACTAGGGGCATCCCTGAGAAGGGTGCATGCCTTCTTCTCCTTTCTCCTTCCCTTGGGCCCAGAGCAATGAAATTAGTCATCTATGGACTGAGATCTCTGAAACTGTGAGCCCCAAATAAACATTTCCTCCTCTAAGTTGTTCTTGTCAGGTACTTTGGTGACAGTGATGCAAAAGCTGACTAAAGCAGCACAGCAAGCCCACTGTTTTTAAGTAGATGCTATGTTTTTCTTTGTTTTGTTTTGTTTGTTCTAAAGAAACAAAAGAGATGGCTACTCATCTCTTCCCCAAACCAACTGAACACTTGGTGATGTCCTTAACTGAGTCTTTGCTGCCTTTAAATAATTGTATGAATTTACTTATCACTTGTATTTTTAAAAGACACATAATTGATTCAAACTTATGGTTTAGAGGGTCTAGCATTACAACTCCATCTTAAATATAGGAACACATTTGTATTTAAACACTTTACAACGTCATAAAGTAGAATGTATCAAACTAAAAACTGACAGAAAATACTGGCTTTGATTAGCTGTTTATAATGATTTCCAGAAGTACTGATTTTCCAAGGTGAAGATTATAATGCATTTATAATGCATTTTTGCCAATGTTTTCCTGAAGAATTGGTTAGGTTATTAGCAGAACATGAATATAATCTTTGCAAACCATCTCTAAGAAACTGTTTTGCAAACAGTTCCTAATAAATTGTTAGAGTGTTAATGAATGATTTACCAGGACTATCTTGAACTTTTAAAATTACACCTAGATTATGTTGTACATTCCTATAAGAAATACAGATCCAAAATATATATGTAAATTTTATTCACCAAATGCATGAAAATCTAGACTCCACAATATCACCTCTAATTCTTTCTAAACAACCCCGCAGACTCAAGCGTTCCAAATGCTTTGTTACCAAAGTAAGTGTGGTTCATGCAAAACTGCCCATTGTCCCATTTCTGGTCCATCTTGCTTTCCTGTGAGAGTACACAGCAGTATTTATTGAGAACTGCCTCTTAATCAGAAGCTTACATCAATTTTCAAATCATCTTACCCTCTACTTCTGCAAGTTCTGCACTTTATCTCATTTCCCTCATCTCTGATGTAGCCTTCACCTTTACTGAGATTCTGGGCAGGTCACAATTTGGTGTAAATACAGTATCAGCTTCAGGAGCAACTATCCGATTATTCTATAATATGGAATCTGAAATTGTCATCTTTTTATCACTTCCTCTATTTCCTTAGCAGAAAAATGATGATTTCTCTGGACCAGTATCTTCAAAATTTGTTTCAATGACACTCAGATTTTGTCTTGGGTTTTTCTCACTTTCACAGTCACCTTTGCAGCTACTAAGAAAAATTCTTCCATGCATTTTACCATACTCTTAAAGCCTACAATTTTTAACTCACCAAGATTTCCCAAGAAGCTATTAACCTAATTTTAACTATTTTAAAACTGTGATTTAACTCAGGCTTCCTAATCTTAAAATCTCCAACCTTAAAAAAAATTACTTGTTTAAACAAAAACATATATCTCCCCCATTATTTATGAACAATATAAATGCTTGAATTTTATATTTACTCTATAAATCATCACTGTTATGCTTACACATAATGTCTGTCTTATGTTGTAAACTTTGAAAGTACAGATTGTAAGCATTGCTCTGTATAGCACTGACTGAGCACAATGTCATGATCGCTTAAATGCTGTTGATGATGATGGTGAAGATGGTAATGATCACATAATGCTGTTCTGGTCAGAAAATGCACATAGGTAGTCCAGTATGCTTTCTTTAAAAACAATTTTTTTAATGTGAGTTGTTTCTCATTCTATAAAGCTGTCATTCTTCATTAGGAAAAGAAGGTTACAGTAAGTTATAATTAGTGTTTAGTGCCCTATCAAATAATTAAGTATAATAAAAAGCTCTCAATGAGTTTAATGTTAACATGGTGTAATTAAAGCCAAGTCTTGAAATGCATTAGGTGTCTATTATGTCAGATATTTGATTTTTCTTTCCTTTACAGATGAAATTCTCAAATTGTGCTTATAGCAATGTCATCATCAAAGGCAAAAACACATAACTTGAATGCAAAATGGGCTTTGCAGTGTCCAAAAAGGACAGAATTCAGAAAATCAAAAAATGAACATCACTTCTACATCCCTGTTATGTACAATAAGAAAACTGAGTCTTAAAGGTATTGTGACTTGTCCAGGGTCACACAGTGAAAAATTAATTCTTCGTTGGCAGTGAGTTATTGACGTGTGGGGTTTTGTTGAAGTGATTGTTATTACTGTTAACTATTTCTTTCTGAAGTGTAAAAGTTTGCTAGAAAAAATGTTTATTTGGTCTTTTTCTTGATAGGGTGAAAAAAATTGTGCAAAGTGAAAGAATATAATTTGTGTGTAACTCCTCTCTTATTTAAGTTGTCTTAGGATGCAGGGCTTGTCAATGTGACTATTTTAAGGCTCAATACAGAGACAAGGCTGAAATCTCACCATTCTCTCAACAGAATATCTGGAATGTGCCTAGATACTTGGCCATTTTGAACCCTGCATTCTTTGAGCTTCCCAGGCCCTCTCTTGTGCATGTCGTATTATCTTTTTTGTCCACAAAGATTTTGAAAAATCAGCAGAGTACAAGTAGCCCCTGAAATAAAGGCGTCATTCAAGGAACAAAGAAGTAGAAGGAGGGATCCAATTAAAATGATGAAAATCTTTAATTTTTATTTAGGTATACTTGTACGGACACGTGTATATACAAATACAGATTGTATGGGTTTGTTTGTGTGTGGGTTTTTTTTTTTTTTTTTTACATTTTCTTTTACGTTTATATAATGTCAGCATTTCAAAACAGCACTCGATGAGTAAGTGCAAAGGAACTGCAAAGCAGGGCAGTACAAGCACAGGACCACACGGAGCTGGACTTCACACCCAGACGCACACACAATGAGTGGCTTCAATGGGGTGTCAAGAGTAAGCATGGAAAGCGGATTTTGACTCATGGGTACCTCCAACATGCCAGCATCTATTAAACTGTACAGACAATGGGAGCAAGCCCATTGTAGGGAGATTTGTCTCACATCCGAGCAGCTCTGGGGCAAATGCATGGGAAAAACTCAGTGATGCCACACCAGAGACAGACCTGCCCATTCACGGCTCTGAGGGAAAATAAAATGTAGGAGGAAAGCGAGAGACAAATAATAATAATTTTAAAAAAACATAAAAAGTTGAGGGAGTTGTAAGGCAAACCAGGGTGCTGGTGGAGGTGGTTTTTCAAAACAAAAGCCAGTGACCACAACTTTGAGAGCAATGAATGGAAGGGAGGAGCTAAAAACTGTTTTTCTAATTTTTTGAAACTAATAAAAAATGGCTGCAGCCGTTGCTAAGGCACCGGAGAAAAACAGAGTCCCTGAAAATCTACAGGTACAGTGTGACTCTTCCTCTCACATTGTACAGAGGGAAACAGCCCCCATTTAATCTTCCTAAAGGGATTGGTTTTCAACCTTTCCTGTGCCTGAGCTGCACTTGATACCGACAAGACTTTTCCTGGGAAAAATGAAACAGTCCATGAAACAACCATAAACAGAAAACCAAACCAAAGTACAGAACCATTACTAACTTCTCCAAACCTTTTCAAACCACATGCTTAGGGTAGGGGAGGACCATAGGACTCCAACATCAGACCTTGAAAACATTGAGGACAAGATATTGGTCAAAAAAGTCATGTTGTTCCAGGTCCCAAGATGATGGAGTCTTAAGCTTAGGTGGGTGATGACCACATGAGTCCTGTATATGGAGCAGTGTCTCAGCCATTTGTGACTTTTCTTAGTCATGTACACACTGGATGTTTCAAAGCCTCAATGCATGTTTTGTATCCTGAAAGTCTATTGTTCTCACTTACAAAAGACATAAGAATCAAATTAATACTTTATTATCAAACACTATATACAACAGAGGTTGCTAATAATACAGAATTTAAAGAACGCTTTTTTTTTTTTTAATGTTTTTCTTTTCTTTCCTCTGCCACCCAAGAAAGTACAATACAAAACAATAGTCTAAACTAACACGAACTGTTACCTGGTCTATTACAGGATACACGGTATCCACTAAACAGACAGATCCTTATTTCCCTGCTTCATGTTGCAAAGCCCTTGGCAACCAGGGGCAAAGGTCGCTGGGGTTTGACCAACTGGGGCTGAGGGGCAGTCATGGCTGCCCTTCAGGCTTTGAATTTTTTTTTAAATTAAAAGCTGCTACAAAGTTACATGACATCCTCCTAAGCCCCCAGAGGATTGTAACACCACTACAAAAGGCCACCAGCGTTTTTTTGGACAAGATGAAAACTGTCTGATACCAATCATCTTCTTGAAAACTCCACGGCAAGTGCATTAGCTACGATTATGTCATTTATAGGTTGAGAAGCATATTGTCTACTGGTGTGGAAAGTCTTGCTAATTTTTTTTAACTTAATTTGTGGTGGCACAATAGTGAAGTAAAAGGGTCTAATTTCCCTGTGAAAAATGAAAGACAATGGCAGAGAGGGCCATGAGTAATTATTTCATTATTTGTTAGAGACAAATGCTAGAAAAACCACAGAAGTCACCATTTCTAAAATGAAATTAGCACTGCTAATGTAGTTATGACTAACTGGAATTATTACAGGATTGTTTGATTTCCTCGGCTATAGAACATGCAGTATTATTTTCGTTCTGCCTATTGATCCATTTTAAAAGGTATCTTTTTTTCCCCCTACCCAAGTCCCACTGGACCAACAAGCCTGTAACTATTAATAAAAAGAATAGGATTTCTGGATACTACTGAGAGTATTGAGCATATAAATAGCTAAAGGAAAAAGGAATTGAATGCTGTGGACTTTTGTTTCAATGAAATAGTGGGTGCCTTCTGTGATAAGACTCTGCCACTCCAGAGAAGTTCCTGATATTGGGGAGAAGGGTTGATTGTATCTGCGAAGCTGGCAACCCCACTCACAAAGTTCCAAGTGAGAACAGACTCAGCAGTAACATCCACTCCAAACCATCAGGTAAGCCCAGATTACATTTCAACATGTGTACAACTCTCTAGGGTGCAGTACATTTACAGCTGCCTTTCATTCACATATTTTTTTAATTCAAAACTACTCACAATTCTAAGCAAATTCCCATTCATGAAGTCCGTCCATAACATGACCCCCCGTTTTTTTTTTACATATACATTTTAAAAAACGAATATATAAAAATCCTTATTTTGCTGGAATGCTTTCAAATTTTTCACATTTTACATGATCATTGCATTTATTGACTTCCTTAATTATTTTGAAAGGCATGGTTTCTATTGACATGTCGTGCAATAGCATAAAAGGCTAGATCACTTTTCCATTGGTCTGACACTTCTCCCTGTCTAGGCTTTGGAGTTTAAAGTTCATGACAGTCCCACCAGTAGAAACCCCAAGGCTCACATTTCCTGGTAATCAACTGGAAACGTCCCCTGTTGGCCATGCTAAGATTCCTTAAACAGGGTCATCCTGTGTTTATTCTCCTTCTGCCCCACCCCCACAATGAAACAAGATAGCCCCCATATTTCTAATGTATCAAGGGATACCACTTTTTCTCACAAGTTTAAATAGGACAAGCATATATACTCACTCTCAGCATAAAGTATATCTAAATAATGTATTTTCTATTCTAGTGGATTTTTAAAAAAATATTTTGTTAAAGTCTTTGGGACTCCATCTTGTTTATCTCCCACAGATAAACACGTGTTCCCCCTACGCTTTAGGCTGTGTCAGAAAGGGAAAGAATATAAAATCAATGCTTGAATTCTTTTATTCCAAACTTTGGAATTTTTATTCCAAATTTCCCTTTAGCCCTCCCAAGTAGTGCTGACTGACTCTCCTGGTGACAGGGGATTTTTTTTTTTTTTTTGTCTGAGCCCCCTGCAGTTGTGGAGTGTGGAGCAAAACGTGGGCATTGGGGTGGGAGTCGGGAAAAGGCCACAGCACACTGGCGCTCCAGCAAAGCCAAATCACATCTCCTCTGGCCACTGACATCCTTTCCTTGGTACATATCATCCCCCAGAGGAGCAGCCAAAGCTATTCCACTCTGCAATCATCAACCCTGGCTTGTCAGCCTTGGGGAAGGTCACTTTATTCATAAAAATGCCTCTTTGAGTTTCTAAAAAAAAAAAAAAAAAAGTTGTAGCACCATGGTGATCTTTATTCAAAGGAAAAAAAAAAAAAAAGATCTGGTGTGCACTGCCCAGTCACCAAAAAAAATTAGAGGCACTCACACATACACACCCCCACCAAACATAGTTTGCTCTGTTTTCACACTTGCTCTGTATTAGCATTCCTGCACCCAACTCGCCTCCTGGAAAAAAAAGGCTTCTTTTACAGAATACAAGTTTGCTGTCAAGAATGCTTTAAGACAGTCATATTTTTTAAAAAACCCAGTGTCTCAACCTTTTAGAAGCCTGTTCATTTATATACTCCTAGAGGAAATGGTGTAATATTATATCTATTCTTAATACCTCCCCTCTGGACCTGACATGGTGACATGATGCCCTGCATGATCATCTTACAGTCCTGAATGAGAAGGCATAAATATTGTATAGGAGAGTGAAACCCTCCCGGGCCTGGCCATCACTGGCTGCATCTGCCACTATTCTTCCTTGTCCATATACCATCCACACAGTGTGCTAACGGAAGTGAGCTCTTAGAGGAGAATGCACAGGAGCTGAGGAACCACTGGTGTCACTACGAAAATTTGGCATTTTCACCTGGAGTCCATTTAATTTGGAAGGGGTGAGAGAAGTCAAGGGCAAGGGCCGGGGGTGGGGTGAGGGAGGCAGCAACTAGTTTATTCAGTCCCCCCAACCCCAAGTTGTTGTTTAGAATTCAGACTGAAGGAAAGAAAACAAAAATCTGACATCTGCCAAAAACCAATAACAAGTCCCTTCTTAGGATGAGCAGTTAGGTGGATCTCTGGTGTTCCAAGACCCTGATGTTTTCTGTGACAGGTGACGGGAGGAGACTGTGCTATAATGTCAAAAGCATCGCCAGGAGGAACAGTAGGATTGCCAAAAGGCGGCTGGGTATCCTTGGTGTTTGTGCCGCGTTCTCGCCGCGGGATGGCTCGGCTGACTCATGTACGGTGTCATCTGTTCAAATAGAAAGCACACATTCCAATGAGATTTCACATCCTTAATAACTCTCTTGCAGCAGCCTGCTGTTAACAGACCTCGCCACCCTCTGCAAAGTAGGGTAATGAACCTTGTGCCACCATTGACTTTCATGTCTGCATAATCACTCATTATTTACAGCAAACAAAGGAGAGGCAGAGAAAATCGGACTTTCTTGGCAATATTAATACTTTCCTTTAAAACTGAGGGGAGAAATTGTGCATACACTATAACTTTCGCTATGGGAGTTACTTTGGTTTGCTAGCAGTCAGACTTGTCTTGCACAAACTTGAAATACCCAATATATGTTTTAAATCTAAGATGCCACAGGGAGGAAAGTAACGTGTTGGAGAGCGTAGGGGAAAGAGGCAGTTATGTTGGCATATTAGTGGTTAACCAGAATGGGCTGTTCATTTTCCTCTCTTTAGTCATTTCATAGGATTAGTGTTGAATGCTTTGTTGGCGGGTGCGGAGGTGAATTTTCAAATATAAAAAATTAAATGCCAAAACAACAGCATTTTAAATAAACTATATGTAATGCCCAGTAAACTTCAATAAACTGGTACCCACTGGTTTTCCTTCAATTAGGAATCAATTATGCTACTATTTCCATTATTGGCCCTGTATCTCCAGGATTAAATTACTTGAACTTGACTATTTTTATTTTTATCAGGCTGAAGCTTGGCACATAAATTATCAGCATGGATGCAAATTTTCTTCTAAATAAAATGGATTAAGTGAGTTAAGCTTCTTTTATTTAGCTATAAAGTGTTCTACGAGGCTGCCTCTGACTTTGGATAGCCTCCCTGATCTGCATGATTAACAGGCTTAACTTTGAAATGGGAACTTTGCAGTAATTAGTGCCCAAAGATAGATGGCGGCTTGCCCGTGAGCGAACCGTGCTATTTTGTAGCATGGCCCATCTTCTTCCTTCCACCTGGTCTCACTCGTGCTTTTAGATTAAATGACCTCTGAATGACTTGCTCCTGGGGCCAATAGTGGTCCTCTGTGCAGATTTTCAGCATCCTGTAGGAGCTCAGCAATTGCCAACTGGGATTCACTCAGTGGTCAGAGAGAATGATAGGTAATAAGTGAGACTCTAGTGTGACTATTCCCAATTATGTAGATCTCAAAAGATAATCCCCAAGTATCCCTGAAAGGCTCACCTTGAGCCCCTTAATGGGTTAACTATCCATTATTTAAAATTCATTTATATTTTCCTACTACATGACACATCACAATAAGGACACTTTTTCTTGCTGGGCAGAGTCACAATCACAATGGATGTCTCTGCTCATCACATCCATTCCTCTTGTAAAACTAAGAAAGACGTTTTCTCAGCTGGGCATCTTTTGCCCCTAGATCTCTGATCACATTAGCCTGTCCTCATGTAGATGCTACTGCATCTAACATGCTCCCCTTTCCTGGACCTTAGAAAATCTAGATGGAGTGGTTTTAGCTTAGGAAAATGTTAGGAAGCAAGAATGGGAAGATAAATGATGAAGAGAAAAATGTGTGTAGTCCTGCACAGGATAGCCAAGTACTTGCAGACCCTCCTTTTCTTCGCTCTTTTTCAGCCTTGCAAATGTATTTTGCAGTTAATAGGGGGTAGAAGACCCTTAATATCCCTGGAATTAAAATTCAAATAACTTCCCCAAGAGCACCAAAATGGTGTCAATCAAAACAATGGAGTACTGCAAGAACTACAAACATGGAGGATTCCATAGAACTTTTTTTTTAAAAAACTAATGTACTGGAGATTGAACCCAGAGGCATTCTACCACTAAGTTATATCCCCAGCCCTTTTAACTTTTAAATTTTGAGACAAGGTCTTGCTAAGCTGCCGAGGCTGCCCTCAAACTTGTGATCCTTCTGCCTCAGCCACCCGAGTTGCTGGGATTATAGGTGTGTGCCACCACACCCAACCAGAGTTCATTTGAAAATATTACTTATACACCTGAAATTATATGTGTTCTTCTCCATGTTATTCTTACTAACACATTACCTAATCTCTGCATAGTTTGGAACCAAAGCAGCTCTTATGTACTCAGTGTGAGCATGAAGGTGACCCTTTCACTGCTTCCTGTCCCTTCCAGGTGCTCAGCAAAGCCTAGTCATTACTTGAGGCCCACTCAGCACAAGACATGGTAAAAGGGCCTCACAGGAAAATTGAGAGGAAGGCTTTCATGTTTCATCTAAAGTGAAGCATGAGGCTTAATGTGCCTTTCAGTCCTCTCATCACGGACAATCTGTGGACTTAGCCCTTTTATAAGCAACCAATGAATGTACACCATCCTGCCCCRAAAAGGGAAAAACCCATTTTCTTGAGGCATCATGATTCTTTTCTTATTCCTGCAACATGATGTTCTGCAGTGAAGATTCTACAAAGCATCCTTTGATTAAAATAGAGGCTCAATGATGGGATACTCTATGGCTCCAAAGGGTRAAATGAGAAACTGGCTATTCTTTGGGTAAATCTGAGCAATTTTAGAATTCTAAGGAAGAATTCATAAGCAAAATCTATCCTAATGGAAATTACACCTAATTTCTAAATGTGGGAGAATTTCTAACATATAACAGTGAGCATTATTTGGAAGAAGAAAATGTTCCTCTTCAGAAGCCAAATCAAGTCTTGTCTCCTGGCTACAGGATTCCACCACACAGGGGTTTCAATGGTTAACTGAGAGAACACTAGCGATATTTTGGAGCATGTAATGTGGCATATGTCTGCCCTGAGATCATCCTGCATCCCTGATGATAGGAAACTGGCAGGCAAAGTGTTGCAAGCAAACAACAAAGACAAATACATTCCAAAGATAGGTGAATTAGTACATATTGTTGAGAACATGCAGTGGAATCCTTTCAGACTTGCTGGATTCAGAAAGCCTGCATCAACATCCGGGGCTGGTGAACATCCATTCGCTCAACCAGTTAACACAGTGGTGAATTGCTCTGAGGCTGAATTTTGTAAGGTATAAGGTTACACCCTCAAATTTGTTATTGTATTCATACTACCAAGGACTGTGGCTCAACCTTTTCTCACCTTTTTAATGAAGATGCTCACTGGCAAGCAAATACAGTTACAACTATCTCAAGGAACTGCAAGCATACCTACACTGTACTTCCCACCACCCAAGCATGTGTATGCACATGCATACACTCTCTCAACTATACTCTTAAATGTTTACAAACTTTCATCAGTTACGTGCTTATAGATTTGAAGCTGTTACAAATTTTTAATGATCACTGAAAACTTATTTCCCCGAATTCTGACAGTGAAATATGCTCATGTATGAAAGTGTCTTAATGTCTCACATGTTATCATTAGTTGAATTCAAGGGTAATTTTCCTAATAGCAGAATAGTCCTCAGTATACCTCTTCTTTACCAGAGAAAAGCATGCCGTATGTGGGTTTCTAAACAGCCTCTTGCTCTCTAAATAGGCAATGTCAGTTTACCTGGAAATGACATGATGGTAAAGATATGTCTTCATTCTGCATGTGTATCAAGAAACAATCCCAGGCAACTTTTATTTATAACATGCCTAACTCTTCTAGTTACCTTTATTCTTATTACCAAACTCAGGAGAGCAAAATCTTCCTTATGAACATCTATACCTCTAGAAATGATAAAGAATAATAATTTTATTTACATATGTATATATTGGAGCCAAGAGTTCTGAATATGAAACGATCTAACTAGCTGTGTGGCCTGGACAGGTCTTCTCAGTCATAAGAGAAACAATGTAGACTTTATAGTTTTTTTTTAAAGAAATAATTTATTTGTTGTATTGGGATTGAACCCAGGAGTACTTTACCACTGAGCTACATCCCCAGCCCATTTTTATTTTCAAACAGGGTCTTGTTAAGTTACCCAGGCTAGCCTCACATTTGCAGTCCTCCTACCTAAGCCTCCCCAAGTAGCTGGGGTCACAGGTGTGTGCCATGACACCCAATAACTCTATATTCTTTAAGACATCCCATTTGACTTGCAGYTCCTATGATGACCCACATCCTTGAGCTTGTGAAGAGACTGGTACCTTGAAAGTCACAGTAATGCTTCCAGATTTCTAGGACACAATTAAAATGTCTCTGAGTCAGCACTCATTCCTTGCAACTTTCTAAAGCAGCTACCTGATCCCTGGGGAGCTACTAAGACCTCTGAAAGCTCATTGTACACACCTCTTGTTTGTGCTTTGGGTGAGATGCCTGCCTTAGAAAAACAAGAATGCTTGGAGGGAAAAAAAAAAAAAAACCCTAACTCTTCCTGTCAGTTACAATGTGAAAGCTATTGTATGTCCTGAGGCACTGCATTTACTCAGGGTAAGTTTCCCTAAGGCTCATTGACTGTGTTATCCCAGTAACAATACTCAGTGGATAAAGTGGACCTGAGGCTCCTTTAATTTCTATAACAATAAGAAAAAAAAAAGTCTTACCACAAAAAATACAAAAAAGAAACAAGAAAAAAAATTCTCCATTTGCATAAGGGGACTCAAATCTCTTTGTGAAGTGGAAATATTTTTATTTCCCTTCAGCTTTGAGATGATGGGAGATGGGTAAAGAAAGGCATCATGATCTTCAGTAGGAGAGGGGAGGAAAAGATACTACTATATGGGAAGGACAGCAATGAGCTGGGAATAGAGGGCCACTACCTTTCAAAAAGAATCTAGCTGCATTTGATGGCCAAATTGAATTTATAACCAAATGGATAGTTTATAGGTTTACATTATCCACAGTATACTACAKCGTAAATACTTAAATGAGCGTTCTTGTGGGCTTTATTTTCTTTCACAGGGCTGGGATAGTTTGAAACTGTGAAACTGAGTACTAGAAAAAATTTATCTTTAAGTCTTATTTTGCCTCAGCAATCAAAGATCATATTTTGCTCAACAGGCTACGGTGTACATTTGTGAGAGCAGCAGGTGTGTGAATCTGTGGTGGAAACATGATTATACTTCTCCAGACAAATGCTATTGACAACAACAGCACAAACAATATTGGAATAAAATGAAGTTTTTTAGATCAGTTTCATGAGGTATGTGATTTTCTAGGGAAAACTAAATACACTGAATTGGTTGCTCTTTTGTTCAATAGTCCTACTACTTTTAGCCACAGATTTGGATATCAAAATGAAAATTTTATAAACACATACAATGGAAATGTTTTTTGTCTTATATGAAAACAGATTTTTTAATATTCACAGTGATTCACCAGCATGCTCTGAGGATATGGCAAAAGGCAGTGAGATTTTAGCATTCTGATGGGGCTTCATATTAGGATACTGCATTAAATAAAACCCATGTCCAAAAAAGAAAAGCGATATTTAATCTAACATGCATTACACAAAGATAACTGGAGGAATGAAGTAGAATATAAGTAATATTAGCATTGGTAGCAATGGGCAAAAGCAGAACAATCGTAACATGCAAACATGCAGGAGGAAGAAAGGAAAAAAAAAAGGGCTGAAGCACCGGAGAGATAGATGCATTTGTTAAAAGAGATTCTCTAAGCATACTAACCTGCTGGTTCTAATGAATTTTCTACTTTGTCGTTAACATCGAAAACACGATCATGAACACCTATAGTTTTCATACAGCTATCTATAACAAAAATAGAGATAACAGCCAAATATGTTAGTGAAGATACCCTTAAACTCCCATTTCTCTTTTTTTTCTTTCTCTCTATTTTTCCTTTTATTTATGTCAAGATTGTTTTACAATCAATGGCATGTATCCGAATGCCAATATTGTTCCCATTAGCTGTGCACGTACAACAATCTAAGAAACAACAAGTTAGCAACTGCTGTGTACTTAAATAAAAGCATCATGAAGAATGATGAGAAAAAATATGATGAAAACTAAAACATGGATGTTGATATACGAAACAGATACCACACGAGATTTAACAGTAAAAAAAAAAAAAAAAAAAAAAAAAAAAAACTTTTACCGCCGTGAACCAGACCACACGATAAAGCATGCGCAGTGAAGGCACCCTCTGAAGCTCAATCTAGGAAACTTACTTGTTGGTCTCACAAAGACTTTGAGTTTTAGGCAGGACCTTCTTCCATTATCTGGGATTGCAGAGGCTGTGGTGAGAGAGGGCAAGAGAGAGAGGAGACAACGACAACTGATTACTTACAACAAATTATACTTTTCAGATGGATCTAACTGCTACAGAGGAGTTTACTTTCACATCCCACATTTCAATACAATAAAGAATCATGCAAGAATGTGGGTCATCTATGAAAAAATATTTTGGACTTTCATTTCAAAGGCATTTCCATTTAACTTGATCTGTTACGAATTTTCTCTAAATCAAGAGGATAATACCAGAGCCCTCTTGCTTTAGGGGCTGCTCCTCCTCAGCTGCAGGAAGAGAGGCTCACCAGAGGCTGGGGGTGAAAGTGCTGGGGAAAGTGCTGGCAAAAACCAGTATCYGATAGTCAGAAAGGCAGACTTAAACATGACCAATTTCTGTTGGGGAAAGCAGAGCTTTGTCTGTCCTGAAAGCTTGTCTGTCAGTGCTTTGCAGGTAATTCAATTAGAGGTTTTATTCAGAACTTGGCTCCACTTTCTATATGACTAACCCAAGCCCAGCAACTTCCATCATGCTATTATAAGTACAATATGCTATTGAGAAAGTACTATGTTGCAACGGCACATTTATTTTTTAAAAAGTGTGCAACAGAGAAGGATGGAATTAATAAAGTGGACTTACCAAAACATGACAACATGTTTCAAGTTATAAATCATTTGAGGAAGAAACTTTCTTCTCCTCTTCAAGATAATAAGATTGTAAACTTTCTCTGGGTTTGAAAGATTATCTCCCTGCAGTACTCACAGCTGAATGTCAAAGGGATTTCCAAGGGTGGCAAGACCCTTAACAACCACATGTGTTTACTAATGCATTCTAGAAATGACATAAATTACTGAAATGAGTGCTGCATACTTTCCTCCCTATGTGCTTGCTTCAAGTGGTTTCTTTGTTCCGAAAAGGCAGATGACATCAATCAAAACACACATGGCTTAAAATTAGTGTGGTAATAGCTAAAGTGACAAAGAGAGGGCCAGCGCTGTCTTCTCTCTTTTTATTTTTATGGTATTGTTCATGGGGAATCCCAGAAAACAAATGAACACAGAAGTTTACTTTGCAGGTAAGAGGATTCAAGATGTAAATTCCAAACCAATTTTACATGAATTTCCTCATGGAACTACAGATCCATGAAACCATGCTATAGGAAAACTTATAAATTAAGGACCTAAAACCTCAAGCTGTAAAGGACCCCCAGTGTCACTATTCAACACCTGTTGAAACTCTTTATTTTAGGACAAAAGTATGGAGAAAAGATGTTTTCCACCCTCCCCACCTCCTCTGGATCCTCTGACAAGCAGTTAAGAAGTGCTAACAGCTGGCTTTGCTGTAGGCTTTCATTAAATCAAAGTCGGAAAAACTCCCTCTACTGACATTTACAGTAACTAGTGTGTTATTTAGGGCACAATATTTGCACTCTGTGGTTTGATCCAGGAAATGGTGTCCTTCCTGTGGACCCCAACTGCAAATGTGCATGTCACAAACACAGTGCACATAGGTGACTCCAATTCATTAAGAAAACCATGGGTTCTTAAATGACTACATGTCTTACTCACGAGAGGTAGTGTGGAAAAGCAAAAAATGGATATTTGCACTGCTGTTCTATAGGTTTTTGAGTGGAGAGGAACTCACTTTAAGCCTCTGAACTTGATTCACCATAAGTAGCTGATTTTACGCGATATTGCAAGATAAATAGACTCAAAGCAGGATTAACTGTTTAATTGCTTTTGTGAAGAGCTTTTTGGATTTAGTACTGGTCTTTCAGATTTCTCTTAAGTAGAAATAAATCCAGGACATAAAAATTATTGTAGGTTGTATTGGAATAACTAAATAGTAACAATTGATGAGACATCCAGGAAAAAACTAAGGGTTCTCTCACCAGCTCGTAAGAAGCGACATGAGCCTTTGCTACTAGATAAATTACATTCCCAAATTATCAGATATGTTTCACATAAAATGTAAAACAGAAACCTCTCTTCCCTACCAGTCTTCCTACTATTATTTCCTAACACCAGAAAAGCTCAGACAATGATAGTGTGATCAATGCTTCATGATACTGTTTGACTATAGCATTCTAATCCTTAGAAAAATTTATGAGCAGAGACTATTAACATACAATTGGTATGTGAGTGCATGTACAGACTACATTAACATGGACTGACTCCACAATCTCTGCTCATGAGACTGTGCGCTCATGCCCTGAACACCAAGCCCTCAGAGCCAAATTGAGAAGTGTGCTTTGTTAGGTCAGTGTAACTTTAGTTCCTTACATACCACATCTAAAAACAAAACCAAAAATATTTAAAAAGATAAAAAAATTCCATATTGCGGAAAATCCTTTTATCTATATCCCTTTATCTGTTTCTTACACAAGGTTTTAGAATGTGAGCATGCAGCTTCACCACATGTTCAAGGTCTGTTCACCCCATCCTCCTTAGCTGACAGTGCAGGATGCCTTTATGTCACTTGAAATACAGACGACTAATTATCAGTAATATTTGAAGATATGCAATAATACAAAAGTGCTTTATGAGTCGCAAGTAAACTAAAGGCAGAGGATTGAGCATTAAAAGCACAAAATAATACAAGAATTGAAACATGTACTATATGCCTTCAGGTAAGCTTTGAAAAGAAAAATTTTCAGGATCACTTATGAGTAAATGGCAAAACTAAGGATGCCTGGCTTTTGTTAGGAGCTAGGTAATATTAATCCCCATGACTCTAGAGAAATACCACTTTATAACATTCACCTTAAAGTGACCAATATTATCTTTATCTTAGTTAGAAGAAATTTTATATATAGTTTCATATATATATATATATATATATATATATGCAATGTCTTCTGTTGCTTTCCTTAGAAAATTAACAGTCAACATTAAAAACTGATAGTGAATACTTATCAAATGCATTATGTWTTACTGCAGCTTCATCCATCATTTCAAATACTTTTAAAATTCCTACTATGAGCCTGCTTCTTTATTAAATGCTGGGGATGCTAAGACAAACTGATCTTGCCTTTTTTTTGTTTTGTTTTCAAAGAGAGAGAGAAAGAGAGAGAGAGAGAGAATTTTAAAAAAATATTTTTCACTTTTCATTGGACACAACATCTTTATTTTATTTTTATGTGGTGCTGAGGATCAAACCCAGCGCCCCATCCATGCATGCCAGGCAAGCGAGTTATTGCTTGAGCCACATCCCTAGCCCCCTGATCTTGCCTTTGTATTGTGCTTATTCCAGCTGGTGCATAAATGTGAGGACATCTAGAATGATCCACATGAGAAMTGAGGCTTACATGAAGAGCTAGCACAATTTTGAGTAGGGAGCGATAGCTTTATCTTGGAGTGTGAAGGTGTGTGGCAGACTCGCTCACCAGAGGAATTTTGTCAGAAGTTTCGTAGGGTCTCTGGAAACTGACCAAGAGCAACTACAACAAAATAATTACAACATTTTACCCCTAAATTCCCAGGTCAAAGCTCCAACAACTAAATAGAAGTGTTAACCTGCAATCAGTGAAGAAAACCTAAACCTGCATTCTTTTTATAAAGAGACATGGATTTTCTAATAGAGATTTTCAAATTAAAATGAGAAATGTCTTAAACAGTTGCCATGAAATCCAGATTCATATCCCTTTACTCACTGCTGAAAATGCACATTTGGCGTCAGGAAGTTGGGGGTAAGGATACRGGGGCCATTAAAACAAGCAAAAGCTCCCATTCCATTATCTTAATAGCAACTTTATAAATCAATCCATAGGTCCCCTTCCCCCTAATGAGCTGCAAAGTACCAAACAAAACTGTGCAGCACATAATGAAATACAAGCTGGGGGCCCTCCAGTTCTGTGTTTAGAGTACCATGCTTATAAGGCCATGAGGGCCCCTTATCTTCACTCTGTTCCATGACCTCATACAGGGGCCCTAACTTGAGTCATTCCCCAAAAATCATTCCCTTGGTGTCCTGGGCTCAGGTGAGTTTAGCATAGCACTTAGCCAATGTGGAGCAAAGGAGGGACCTATGCTTAAAAAACTATATTCAGGATTTCAAATATATACTGTATTCACACCATTTTGGACATAGCAAGAGAACACTGTTGTTGTAGTTAGCTTGTTGTAGTTAGCTTCTGACATGGCTCCTAGTGATCCCCACCTCCTTGTACTCAAGCCTTTCTGTAATCCCTCCCCTCAAGACGGGGCTGAACTTAGTAACTTCTTCTGAGAACACAGCCCAAGTTAAAGAGTATCACCTCTGTGATGAGACTGCAAAAGTTTGTGACTTCCTTCTTGCTAAAACTTGATCTTTTGCTCATGAAGCAAGGTACCATACTGTGAGATTCTCAATGCAGAGGCCCATGCAGCTAGAAACTGAGCGAGACTTCCAGCCCTAAGCATGCAAGGAAGTCCTGGCTTAGAAAGCAACAACTCACAAGGAATTGTATCTGGCTAACCATAATGTGAGACAGAGTGAATCCTCAGCTGGACCTTGAGATGACTGTTATTGTTGTTGTTTTTTTTTTTTTTTTGGAGAGACCAATGTTCTCAGCAAAGTGGAACCTGGACTCCTGACCCATAGAAATTCTGAAATAATGTTGTTTTAGCCACAAGCTTTGGGGGTAATTTTTTCAAGACCTGGCTGGTGCAATGCAGTATACAAACAAATGTATGTCATCATTGATTTCACACAGCTGCCTTTAGACTGAAGGACTAAGACACTGCAGCATTTTCTCCTGATGGGCAGCCATGTCCTTGTTCCCATGGAGCAGTGCACTCCTTACACTGGGGCCATGCCTAAACAACCAGATCCCTTACTAGTTTATATTTCAGGCTACTGTTACAAGTCCACTTAAAATAGCCTGTAAGAGAGGTAATTATAAACTGCTGTTGAAGAAATACTACAAGACACATCTATTTGTTCTCACTCCAGCATTTAAAAACTGTTTTTCATTTTCCTTCTCATGCAACTTGGTTTGTTTTTGCTAATGTAATCAACCTGTGCTGT